AGTTCGGTGAACAGTTGTCAAAAGTAAGTAATGAATGGTTCATGTTGAAAGCACATTAGCTGTTAGAGTGTAAATAGGGATCTTTCGACAAATCTCAACCTGTTTACGTTAAATCCAGCAAATTGCTGGTGGCAAACGATTTTTACTACTTCGACAACTCATAGGTTGCGTTTATTATGGCTTAGATGGGACCACTAATTTCACAGTTTTAGTACTTTTGACAGTTGTTTCATCAATAGATTGATTGGGTCATGAATTGCATCTTCTCGTTTTTTGGGCTGTGAAAATGATAAAAGTTTTGCTCAGTCACCCAATTTTGATGAAACAACTGTCAAGTTTTGCTCAGTCAACCAATTTTGATGAAACAACTGTCAAGCGCACCAAAAATGTGGAAATTATGGTCCCAGTTAAACAAGGATATATAAACGTTGTATCGCAAGTCTGTCGGGTCTGGTGCTTATAGTTTCGTCTACCAATCAGACAAATGGCGTTCCTTTTCACTTAAATGCTTCTTCTTTCTTCATCGTTTCCCTCACATATGTTCGCAATTCTTAGGTAATCTCCATCATTTGCATCGCTGTATGGGCTATCAATATCGGCCATTTCAACGATCCCGCTCATGGTGGTTCCTGGATCAAGGGAGCTATCTATTACTTCAAGGTACTTCCTTATTATCTGCCCTATACTGCTCTTAAATGAGATGCTCTTTAGATCGCTGTTGCTCTGGCTGTCGCCGCCATCCCTGAAGGTCTTCCCGCTGTCATTACCACCTGTCTTGCGCTTGGAACTCGAAGAATGGCAAAGAAGAACGCTATTGTCCGATCATTGCCATCTGTCGAGACTTTGGGTTGTACCTCTGTAATTTGCTCTGATAAGGTAAGCTCTACCTTTTTGGAAGTTTTTCTTCTGCAGAGTGAAAGTTTCATTTGCTTCAGACCGGTACTCTAACAACCAATCAAATGTCCGTGTCCAAAATGTTCATTGTCGAATCGGCATCCGGCGACAACATCAACTTCAATGAATTCACTATCTCTGGGTCTACCTATGAACCATCTGGAAAAGTTTTCTACAATGACAAAGAGGTGGGTAGGACCAGCATGTCACAGCTTAGTTGCTATTTGAGAAATTTTAGATCAACTGTGCTAGTGGAGATTTTGATGCTTTGACCGAGTTGGCCACGATTTGTGCGATGTGCAACGACTCTGCTGTGGACTACAATGATACCAAGAAAGTCTATGAGAAGGTAAGCTTGTAGCTGTGACCTTTTTTGAGCTCGAATTCCATTTCGAGTTTCTTTTT